TAATTATAAAATAAAAATTATTAAATAAATAATTTAATATTATGGACTTAATTCTTATTTAATAATTAATATAGTATAATTTTGAATTATAATATAGGTTTTGACTGTATTATATTTTTTTTAAAAAAAAGTTAATTTATCATGTATTTTAATGGTACAAGTAAAGTTGTCAATATCGTATCGATATACATATCGATTTTGTTACTGAAATTGTACATATCAATTACCAAAATTTTTTATGTATTGTTTTAGATTTATCGCTATATATATATTTTATAAATTAAATATCAAATTTTAAAATAATAATAAGAGAAACTAATTTTTAAAACCATTATATTCTTATAAATTGAAAACAAATTTAAAATAACCAATTTTATAAAACATCCATAATTTTTTCTCTTTTTTTTTAACATTAAGATAATATTATAACATATAACAATATTTTGAATTTAATATTATACAAAACATTAATTTTGAATTGATTAAAAAAATGCAATTTTCATAGTTGATAGATTAAAAATATATATATAAAAAGTTAAAAGATAAAAATTATGTAAAATATTTAAGTTGATGATCAAAAATAAAATTTATCCTTTTTAAATTTAAATTCATTTGTGCAAATCCATTTTTAGTGTATCGGTCGGTAAGTAGAAATATGGGTTAATACACCAAAATTTAATCGAAACGGACAAAATTTAACCAAAACAAAATTAAATCTTATACAATTTTAGTTTTTAAAAAAAACTGATATGTACAAACCATACCAATCGGTATGGTACGAAATTTGCAATACTAGGTACATGATAAAGAGTATTAATTATATAATAGTTATCACTTTTAGTTTTAAAAATGCTAACTTTATTTTTTATTTTAATTATAAATATTATGTGTTAGATTTTGATTGATTAATTTTAAATTAAAAATTGAAAGTTATTTTTAATATAAAATTTTATTCTTTTCAAAAAAAAATTATAATTATTATTTAATAATAATTTTTTTATCTTATACCCTTACAATACATGACACACAAACTAAAAAAAACACACTAATAGTTGGAACACTAATTAAGGAATATCGGGAATTCAACTCGCTGGACCGAGCCACTCATGAAGGGAAAACCATACCATCGTCAGTATCAAAGATGAATTTACAATCCAAGGGAACTTATCGATTGCAATCATGTAAAAAATAACTTAAGAAAAGCAATATTGAAGTAAAGAGGGGCACATCCATTAGGCATTAGGTACAAAACTCCAATCAGAAAAAGGGCATGCCACAAACCTAATTCAGAAAATCAATCACTATTAAAATAGAAAGAGAATCCATAGTTATTTGAGTATTTAAATTAAAAATAGCAATCATCTAGATTAGAGCCCTTGTTCTTTTAATGGATGATGGATCCTTCACTCTAGGAGCTCAAAATGGTCTTGTTGCTTTCCTCTCTCATACAGACACCAATACAAAATCATATATTTATATGATATATGGTCTTTTTATAAATAAGTTTTACATAAAATTTATAATTTTTATTTTTATTTTTAATAATTAACGTTTATTACAATTTTTTAAATAAAAAAATTAACTTAAAAAATAAAAAATAGATAAATTTCAACTATAGTAAAAAAATAGACTATAATTTTTTAAATTTATATGTAAATTAATTCAACTCTATTTATATCATACATAAACAAGCTCTTTCTCCCTTTAAAAAATAATATCATCAAATAATAAAGTCAAACTATAGTCAAAGTCTGTCAATATGATTCAAACCTTGTCAACTATAGTTAACACCAACTTGGACATGGCAGGCTGGCAGTAGCAAAGAGCCAAAGAGGGTGCAAAAACCTATTTCA